GGTTGTCCCAGGTAATGTAGTGAAGGTCATTGTTGGCAGCGGTGTTTTTGTAGTCTTTAGAGTTGCATATTACTGTCTGGAAATACCCTTCAGGGGATGATACAAAGTTAGTGTAGTAGAGGAGGAGTCCTTGGCAATTTTCCCACCCCACAATGCAATATTCAGCAAATGATCTTGATAACATTGTCCACGCTGAACCTGTATTTTAGAAGCCAATCAGACTAAACATTGAACAGACTTGGTTGGTGGGGTGTTTGTTTAGAAGTCGTTGAGATTGAATTTATGAAAACATAGTTGAAGAAAATAATAGCCAGACAGAATAGAGGAAACCGAACCGAACCAATCATTCGGCAGGCCTAATTTTGTCGGCTTTTTCTTAACTATACATGTCTTTTGAAACAATTCTGAAGTAAAATATCTGTAAATTTAAATAAATTATAAATTCAATTATGAAGCATCATATCCAACAACCTAAACATATTACATTGTACATGAATTATCCATTAGGGTACATGAAATTTTGGCTTGATTCGATTATTTTAGGTTGTGTACACTCAAACGTCAAATTAACTGTACCAAACTTAAAAAATAAAAAGGACAGAATCTAATTCAGTTCCATCCAGTTCGTGGTTTCAGTTTAGTTTCGCACACTGTGTGTTATGGTAATGGTACTAGGTACGTCAAAAACATCCCTCTTGTTCCTATGATGTGAGATCTGTGTGGGTAGGGGAGGTGGTGGGATTTTACTGGGCCGACATTGTTGGTAAAGTTGTGGAAGCACATTACGCCCATGTGCTCCCAGCCAGCAGTACAATGCATCAACCATTTAATGGCCTTCCATGAATGATGGTCCCCGCCCTTCGCCTTCACAAACACGTGAAGGGGACATTTCTGCCTGCCAGCTATATTGACGATCAAGCCCTCAATTATAAAATTCTGTCCACTCTATGTGATTTAGGATTGATTCTCTGTTTGACGGTTTGTGTTCTTTTATCTGAGATGACTAGTCCTTCATCAAGCAAACATTTTTCTTGGTATTTCAATCCAACTTGGATTTTGAATGTTAATAGCCATAAACAACACGACGAGAAGAAAAATACAAAACTTGTTCTTCCTTAGTTTGATGTTAATTATAATAACCATCAAGTTTGATGAGAAGAACCTGTATATAGTTTAAAAGCTGTTGGTAGACTCCTCTGCTTGGACGCCCACCAAATTTCTGATTTCTTGAGGCTATACAACCCTGGGTCTATAATAATTGGCTTCCCCCTCTTATTACTGAAATAGATATAACAACAGAATTCAGAACTTTTGGCCAGAAAAATAAGGCATCAAACAGAAACAGGGCTACTTACAATTTCCAACCAAGTGACTGCTATGCTGTATGAAATTGATATCTCTGGGCAACCCAGAAAAGGCTTGGATCAGATCTGAAGAGACAAATGATTCATCAGAGTTTGAGTTCACAACGAGATGCGCAGAATCAGCATTAGTAAGGTCACACGCAATGACACAAATGCTTTCTTATATCTGATACTCATAAAAATTTTAAGGCCACTCACCATACCATCTTGTGTAACTAAGGGGTAATCAGAGGCGCTGAGATTGATAAACCAGTCCCACTGGCAAATTCTCAGAAGTATTGCCATGGCGTGAAGCGTGGTAGAAAGCATTGTTGGTCCTCTGTAAGTCACCAAATTACGCTTCTCCACAACCCAACATTACCCACTGCCCCAAAAACAGGATCCTTTGCCACAAACTCAAACACATCCTTGTGCTCTGCCTTAGGAGCCCCATAATCCATGTGAATCAGATAGTAATTCCCAGGATGATACAACGCTCGCAGCAACCTCTTGAGCTTACCGGAATCACCTCTTGACGCAGAGATCAAGTAGGCAAACGTGACTGGGTATGATCCTTTGCTGGTTCTTGAGATATTGAAGGAGCTCTTATTCACAGGCATGGACGTTGATATGGGCATGGTTAATCTAGTGGGAATATAAAGAACCATGAACAATAGAGATAATAGCATGAACGAAACCATAAAAACTTTGACACCCATTTGAGAGAAAACTGCCAAGAAAGGAAGAGAAAATGAGGAAGGAAGGGTGAGTGGCAACAAGAAAGTGGTAGTTAAATGGTTATGATATAAAATGGGATTGATGAGTAAGGTTTACATTTCTGAATTGGATTCGTTCCTTCAAACATAAGGAGGCCATAAGTTAGTTGGAGGGAAGAGAGGGATATAGATTCTAGTGAGACCATTATTGGTCTGCTTTATCAAACAGGTAGAAACTCTTGTTCTGATAGGAGCCTGAAGCTGAAGGAAATATTCCAGAAGAAGCACTTTCGAGCTGACGGGGTTGAATCGCAATCATGGCCTTTGATTTTAATCGTTCAGTGCTTGTGACTAGTGATGAGCCTGAATGGCCAAAACTGGAAGATTACAAGTTAGGTCATGTATTTATGTCTCACCAACTTTGCTCTCCAAAGTCCCGGTCGGCAAGTTAAAGATATGTGAGAACCGCTATCAACCCTTCTATGAAAATTATGGCCTCAAATCATTATCATCCATAACACTACATCCAGTCCTAATTATAAGAGTTAGTTGACTAATTTAAAGAGATTAAAAAAATAAGTTAAGTTAGTTATTCGTAATAAATATGTGCTGTCTTTCCTAAAATATCCATGCTAATTAAATGTGTTGGCCAGAACTACCATTATTAGAAGGACTATCTTAGGAAAAAAGGAAATAAATATTAGAGACAAAGTAGATAAGGATCTTATATTTAGGACTAAAATAAAATCAAACGAGATTTATATTATTAACGACCGGAGGCAGTATTAATTTTCTCCCAAAAAAATATATGGAGACATTTAGATTGATGGGAATTATTTCTATTGTCGATTATAGCTTGTAATGTATAAATAATAAAAATAAGTTCATTCTTGGAATACAGCAACATGTAATTTTCAATAATTCAATCCATATATCCACCTCCACCATGAGATAGTTCTTAGCCACCAGATTAGATGCTGTGTCCAATCCGATTACACCATGGAAAGAATATTATACTTAAGACGGTGGTGAACATTATATAGTGTCGATTTAACTAGGTTTCATCATTTAATTTCTGAAGATTTATCTAAAAATTAATTACTGTAATGTGGATTCATGCCCGTTCAGGTAGTCTTCTTTTTTTAAAAAAGAAGAAGGAGGAGGGTGCAAATGTCAGCGTAGCGGGCCTTCCTAGCATGGCCTAATAATGGGCTGGGCCTATTTTGTAATGGGCAAACAAAACGTTGATTCGCGTGAAATAAAAAAAAGAGAGCCAGGAATGGATTCCATTTTCTTGCTTTGCTGGTCGAAACTTAAGCCATGATATTTAAATAAGTCATTTACTAATTTTTTTAATTTAAAAATTAATATGTTTTTGCTTTTTGGTGGAGAGACTATAATTTTGATGGGGGCATTGAATACTTTTTTTCTGAGTAGTTAGACCGCTTTTTTGCCACGTGGAATTACTTTAATTTGATTATTGTCAATAGAAAGCAAAACAAACATTTCATTCAGGGGCTTTTCCTTTTGTTTTTTCGAAAGAACTTAACTTTAGAATTCTCCCCAAAAAAGAAAGGAAGAAAACCAATGAAATAGGTATATGGTTGTTTGTTCTGTTCGGTCAGTTGTTTCTTAACTAACTTGTCTTCTATTCAACCCATTTCACAGTTGTTTCTTCAAATCATTCTTTTCCTATTACTATTAGAATGATTCTTCACAAATTTAACCAAACCATTCCAATTCTCCCAAACAACCATGCACACATATTCCCTGCTTTACTGTTTTCGATCAAAGATATTTCCTTCTTTATTGTACATCACGTTTTCAATATATACATGCATATAAAGGACACCTATGTGCATTATTAATATTTTATTTTCTTCACCAAAATTTCCATACTGTTTTAGGTTTGAAATTATTTTTGTTCATATTTTGCGTATGTCACTCCCTATAGATAGTTTTTTTTTTTTTAACGTGTTCAAACTTCTGATCTTTCTGCTTTTAACAAACAAGCTCCTGATACTGTTAGTCAGACTTCGAAATTATTTTAGCTAAACAGGCATAATAAAAGGAAAATATATATTGGGGTCTGGTGTCATGTTTCATACTTTGTAGACTTTAGAGTCTTCGACCGGACAAATTATTTATAGTAGACGTCGTAGTTAGCTCCAGCCTCCAGGATATACACTGCAAGTCAATATTGCTGACCAATGCGAGGTAAAGAAAAATTATAGATAATAAGGAATATAATATATATATATATTTAATAGGCAGTTAGAAACTAATTAATGGTCAATGCTAGCTTCCAAACCTTATCTTCCTTCTTTCAAACCACGTATTTTGAGTTTTGAATAATCTGTATATACGAGAGAAAAAAAAGGCTCTTTTTTTAAACATTTAATTTCTGAATATTTTTCAGCCGTGCAATAGTATCGTTTGGAGAAGGACAAAAATAAATTAGTAGCCGAACTGAGATCAAACACGCAGCCGCTTTGTTTATCTATTATTCTTTTTGGCCTTTTAAAAAGCAGTATATTAATCTAATCAATATACAAACAAACGAAAAGGAAACACAATATTCTTTCTTTATTTCACTTTTTTTTTTTTGGCTTCTCGTATTTAAAGCCGCAACGTTTTTCCCGGGAAATTATCCAACGGTATCACGTGACAACAACCACCGGAGGAGAGATTATTCGAAGAAAGGGACCCTCCGGAGCACGTCACGAAGGCCGATCCTCCGCCTCTACGTCATCATTCCACGCCAGCACACAATGGAAGCGAACACCCCCCACCTCCCCCACTTGATATTGACTAGTGTAGCGTACACCGTATGAAAACCAAGAAAGAAACATCTTTCAAAGCAACCGGGAAGAAGATGGACTTGGTCAGTTCCTTCTGGTTTTCTATAATCTGTTATTTTAATCCACAAGGCACCGGGAAACTTCCATCGTGGTAAGCGCCGCATTGATTCGTTCACCCCAAGAAAGTGAAGGAAAAACTCATATAAAAGACTGAATCGAATACTGTGTGGATTAAAATAGGCACATCATGACCATTTTGAGCTCCTTCAATGACACTAGAGGTACACAGAGCATTCGCGTTCAAGTTCAAGACGACAGGCTTCCGCACGCAAACCCCGTCCAGGTTCTCTCTCCCCCTCTGTATCTTTCTTCCCCGTCAAGCTTCTTTTGCTTTGCAACTTAACTCTCTCGCTTTTCGTTCATTTCTTGATTTTATTTTTCCCGCCTTGCTTCTTACAAAGCAAGCTTCTCTGCTTCCGAGACATCCATTTCTTATATCACCCTCTTCTCTTGTATCTGGGTAAAATTAATACGATCAATGATAGCCTCTGAATTGGTTATCCATCCATTAGTTTAACGAAGATTTCTCCTGTCAACTTGATCTTTTGACGGCGCAGGGTCAAGATTCTGGCTTTCCGAACAGAACAGTGGCGAGGCAGATCTCAACGAGGGTCTTCAAAATTTTATTCCTCTCACACATATTGTTTATCGCAGTCTTAACAATTTTCCTGACTATCTATGGCCTAATCTCTGCCTCTCGCAACCACCAATTCCACCCCTCAAAGTGGTACCCTCCGCTTCTGTCTTCAACAGCGAGTGCTGGAATAGTTGCCTTTACATGTCAATGGATCACAGCTCGCAGGCCCTCGAAGGCCATCAAGGCAGCATTTTGGCTGAGTCCTCTCCTTACGCTTGCAACTGGCGTTATGTTTGTGTACATTGAATCTGCACTTGGTATGGTAGCTGGTGTGGTTGCTTTGGTTTCTGCATTAATACAGTCACTTTATGGCTGTTGGGTTAGTCCCAGATTTGAATATGCCACCAGAATTTTATCAATCTCCTTAACTTTTCCTCCTGCTAGAATTATGGGGTTGGTTTTCTCATCAATCCTTGCTGGTATTCTTTATTGCTGTTTCCTTGTTGCCGGGATAGGAGGAGCTAAAGCTATTGAAAGCAAAACCAAATTGGCCGCCTTGTTCATCTTGGTGATCCTGCTTAGCCTGGGATGGACCATGCAGTTTCTTAAAAATGTGCTGCAAGTATCTGTCTCAAGGATCATGTACATGAATTTTGCTTGTGGAGTACATATTGACACAAGAGCGGCAATCTATGACACAATCAAGTACTTAACTGGTAGTGTTTCCATTGGTTCCATCCTCGTGCCTCTAATTGGACTCTTTCGGGGTTTTGCAAGATCCATGAGCCTGGTTGGAGGCGACACGGATGAGTTCATGTTCTCCTGCGTTAGTTGCTACATGGGGATTGCTTCTACTCTCGTAAGACATGGCAACCGATGGGGTTTTGTGTATGTAGGAGCCTATAACAAGGGAATTGTGCAGTCATCCTCTGATACGTGGGAGATGTTCAACAGAGTTGGTTTGGAGCAACTGATAGACTCAGATCTCACAGGATCGTTCTGTTTTTTTTGTGGGGTGGCAGGGGGTGCTATTAGTAGCCTAATGAGTGGAATATGGACCATATTACTTCACAGGAACTATGCAGCAGAAACATCCGTTTATGCCTTCTTGATTGGCTACTTCATGGTGAGTCTTTTATTTGCATATTTTTCATTGTTTCTTTAGCATCACTTATCTGCGTGCGTCTTCTTGATATACTCATCTTGGTGCCAATGTCATTTACAGTGTCGCTTGGCTATGGCATGGCCGCAAGCATGCGTTTCAGCTTACTACGTAGCTTATGCAGAGAACACAAATCCACAGAACAATCGATTTGACTCAACAATCCCAGTACGGTTGCAGCAGCTTCAAAGAGCTCGAGCATAGCAAACATTCTCGTGTTTTTCATAGTTTGATTCTAATCTCACTAATGTGGGTTCCCTACCTTAGTCTCATGAAATTGTTGACACTAGCACATTGTTGCGAGGACTAGTAATGAGTTTGTATATAAGGTGAAACATACATGGCTCATACAACATAATTCAGGCTAGAGCAGTCTGAAACCACATGTTTTCAGTGTCCTATGATTCTTCCCTTGCTTCTTCCAGAAGGAAGTTTGTCTTATAATACCATTGGTTGATCAAATCTACTCACCTTCGAATTGAAGCAACTACAGACTGCAATTTTTCACTTTGTTAAAGTAGATACTGGCTTTTACAAATTAAAGCACGTAACTTCACGGGGAAAAATTACTTACACCATCTCTAATCATCTACAACTTTCATGTGAACTTGCCAGAGATCAAAGTACAGTGTATTGCAATATTTGAATCTTGTAAAACGAAGAACGCAAAAGGGACAGGCATCAGGGCTCTTCCTTCAGATAGGTGGACCTGGCTAGATATTCTATGTTCATATCAAACTACTTCCCCTTTTGGTCACAGGTTACGAGAGTGGAAAGGAATTTCCTTCTCGTCACCTCTGCGTAGAGTTTATCATGAACTCTTATCATTTAACAATATCTTTTCTTCTAACCTATAAACAATAAGAAAATGAGAGTATTTTCAATAATCGAAATACTTTATTACATTTTTCATTGCATTCTTTTTCATTCTATGATTTTATCTCCCGTGCATATCGATCCTAACAATTAAACGGAGATAATTCGATCATCCACATTCAGTCCACATGGTCCCCAACATTCAGTGTACGCATGGCAAACAGTTGCAGCATTAATGATTAAATGGCGGCTTATCAACTAGATTGTGGGCCAGTGTTTTCATGAAACCTGAAATGAATTGCGCTTTTAAAAACTCATAAATATGACTTTTTAATTTTTATAGATTACTTCCTACCTCACTTTTTACAAGTAACAACTATCATTTGTTTTTTGTGTTTAAATATAAACAATATTTACAAATTGTCTTAAATTTTTGTAACAAATTTTCTATTTTATCTTCATTAATTATTTATTTTAATATTTAGTATATTGTTTGTCTCATTTTTCAAATTATCATCTCTTTCTATTATACATTCCCTCTCTTTCATAAATCTCTTTGTTATAATAATCTTTTTTATTTTTTTTCTTATATTCTCTTCCCTACAAATAAAAATATTTTAAAGAAAAAACTTTCAATTTTTATTTATTTATTATTTTTAACTAATTTTTTAATCTATATGACGAAGTCTCATGTTGATTATAACAAGAAATGGAGGAAATATATATTATAGGTATATAAAATAGACATAGATATGCGGACGCGGAACACGAGCAATGTCGTTGGATCTATTTAAAAAGTAAAAGCAGAGCCCAGGAAGCATTAACATTTCCAAGATAAGGTTGTGGAACCGGGAAATACTCATTCGATCTTTAATATAAAATTTATTTAACTAATTTGATTAGATTAAGGAAGTTAGGTAAGTTAGTTAATTATAAGAGATATGATATATTTTTCCTAAAATACCATAATCATCTTTTCTAATACCCCATCTCCCTTTTCTACTTGATTATAATTGAGGGAGTATCCATAGGGGTAATTTAGAGAAAATTGATAAATATAAGAAATGGATCTTATATTTATGATCAAAACCAACTTAACAATTGGGTTCTATATTAAGGACCGGAGGAGTAGCATGGTACCTACTACCTAGGCAGTCAATTTCAACGATAATGCCTTAGCCTTCCCATTTGGTGTCACCGTACTGGCCAAGAACATGAACTTTCGGCTGGCCTTGGCAATCACTCAAACGGGGAATGTCTTGATTGGCTTTCTTAGCCAGTAGGCTTTCCCAATTTTTTCCTCTGTTATTTTTTCTTCTTTCTCTTCTTTTTTAACTCAAATTCTTTAGTTTTAACGTTGTTCATAAGTTGTTGACAATGTTCATACGACATTTTCCAGGGGTCAGCTTTCGAGGGACAAATTACAGGCCACACCAGGAGAAATTTCCGTACATCAAAAGCTTTAATTCCTCAGAAGACACAATCATCAATATAACTATTCAATCTCTTCCACTCAAGCCATGTGTTTGTGTCGGCTCACTGGTGGCTCTAGAGACAAATTACTGTTCACAAGGATTAGATGGCTTGGACCAAATTGCATCTGGCTTTGTGCAAGCCGTTATTAATTATTGGCTTCACTTGGGCTTAGTGTATAGTTGACAGAGACCCAGCATTTGAATTTCAAACTTTTGAAACTCTCCCGCTAACTCTCCCGCTAATCACAAATCACAAACCAGATAAAAAGAACTCGCCCTCCTTCTATATTGGCAAGGAGAAGAAGAGAGCATTTAACACGTAATTCTCGCTCTGTTCTCGGCACCCCAACCTCTTGCTTCTCCTACTTTTAAGATGCAGCCCAGCTCGATGCGCCTCTAAATGCCAGGCCGTGTATAATCACTTTGCTCTCATCTATGATTAGGTACACCTTCTTCTTCTTCTTCTTCTTCTTCTTCTGTGTCATACCTTAACACTCCCTTTTTTTCTATTTGTGTTTTTTTTTTCTCTATTTCCTTAGCTCAATGATTTCTTCAACCTGGGTCAGCATTGCATTTGGAAGTAGCCGGCAGTGGCATGGAGGGGGCATGCTGCTTCTCGACAACTGAATCAAATGTTGTGTCCCCCTCCCTAATGTGCTATTTGTTGGAACTTTTAAATAGCATGCGCTTAATGATCTGGTGACCATGACGATGGCGGAGACGCACTGGTGACGAAGTCGATGACGCTGGGGAGGCTGAGACTGTCTGCATCTTGCAATAGTTCAGGTTATGTTCTAGCTGGCCCTTGAATGCGTCACCCAATGATCAGCTTAGTAAATTTTGGTGTCAATCCTTTTTGGGGGCATTTTTATTTTTTTCTTCTATTTTTTCTATTTATCAGAATGTGAGGGATGCAATTGCTTTAGAGGATTCAATCTGTTATCTCTTCTATGTTTATTATTCGGGCATTCTGTCAAAGTGTAACTGGAAAAACTTTTGAAATGAGGAGGGAAATACTTTTTTCAAAGTGAGGTTGAGGGTTAAAACTTACTTATCAAAAGTGAGGTAGAAGAAGATTAAATACGCAATCATTGTGGACGATGCTAATCTGCATTGAAAAGCAACAAAAGGGAATGTCTCACAATGATGTTATTCTGCATCTTATTGCCTTCTCTATTTGGGAGTATGAATACTTTGCTGCCCTTGGTGGTGTTGTGGTTAAAGCATTCTGTATTAAGGTTAGTTGATCAAGGCAAATATAAAGTATTAAGATTAGTTAATGTTCATCATAATAATCAAACCTAAGTGATCATATCTCTGACTTTTGTTCCCGAATCCTAACTGCCTTTCACGTGACACCTAGACCTCAAGCAAGCTAAGAAAACACCTTCAACCAGCAGTAGCATTTAGAATTGCTTTGACTAACGTGTAGATTTCATTTTAAAAAATGTCAGTAGACTCAGCTTTCTATTATGCGGTATTGTATTGTTGTTTTGCCAGTTATTAGCTTGAGTCCCTATACAAAACAAGTTTTTGGATTAAGTCGAAACTGCTCTTTAAATTTTAGGATGTTTAGTAGTTTTGTTTGCAGGTAACTTAGAGACTATGGGGTTTGGCTTGGTATGTGTCAAATCTTGAACTGTTTGATTCTTCTTCTCATGTTTTGTGTTATTTTTTCAAGTCAGTTTCTTGCTTTGTGTATGCCTAGGGGGTTAACCTTTGGTTGTGGATCTTCATCAGTGGTGATATCGAGGAAGAACAAATGATGTGGCAGTCATGCTTTTTCTATCTTTTAGTAGGGAGGGGGCATGATAGGCGGTGACCTGCACGTTCTGTTTCGTTTGGGGAGTCCTTCAAAAAAGCTAAGATATATTCTGACTTTTGAATTATCTTGACATGCTCGGCTTTCCTCTCAGCAAAGAAGGGTTGTTTTGAAACTATGTGATTTTTGACTGGTGGGTAAAGTCATTTGCATTGGGGAGGGTGTAGAACATTTTTTTGTTCATGTTGAAATTGTGTATTCATGGGATTCTATCATCATGCCATATAGAGTTATGTAATCTAAGTGAGGCTAACAATCCTAATTTGGCTGCTATTGTTCTTACGCTTTTATTATTTTTGTCCTGACGATGTTTACTTTTGCAGGTTGATGCAGAATTTAGGCCCGTGTTTTTTGTTCCTGCAATTGCTGTCTCACTAGAGGATGACATAATAAATCCCAAGACCAAGAATATAAGACTATGAAGAGTGTTCATTTCACATTACTTTGGAGAAGAGCAGGTATAGAAATTTGTTCATCTTGCCTAGGAGAGATTCATCATGTCTTCATAGGTTGTGGGTTATCTATATTGAGTAACAATATAATATGTGGACATTTTATTTTGCTTATATCCTTAAACCTTGCAATTACGTTATACATTTAATGAAATATTCTTTTTTAATTGTTATATATGTAGTCAGTGGGGTTTACTGGTTTTGTTGATTTCATTATGTTATTAAATTGAATATGCAGGTTATAGGAGACAGTGAAAGCATAAGGAAAAATGTATTTAGTTATTAATATCGTATTGAGTTGAATACTGCAGCTTTGCAAGCGAGAAAAAGCAATATGATCATCAATAGTAATGGTAGCAAACCTGAAAGAAGACAAAATATGGCAATTCTTGACTTATTGGGTTATAATGAGAGAGAAACGGTGCTAATAAATTAATGTAAGTAAGG